GTTGGTGGTGGAGGCGGCGCCGGCGCTGGACATGGAGTACAAATACAAGGCGTACAGGCAGGGGCTGGCGGTGGAGGTGGTGGAGGTGGTGGAGGCGGTGAAGGACAAGGTACACAAGTACAGGGTGTACAAGCAGGACCCGCCGGTAGAGACGGAGCAGCGGCAGCACATTGTGCACAAGCTGCACAAGCTGAACATAGTGAAGCACCACCAGCTCCTTTTTGATAACAGGGATCACAGGATGGTGGTGGTCCACAAGGTATACATGGATTGGCCACTGGTGGAGGCGGACAACACAATGGTCCTGCTGGTGGGAATAAGCTTGGTATTGATGGAAGGTATAGAGGAGGAAGCGAAGGTAAGGAGAATGTAGGTAAAGAAGGTAAAGCCGGTGTACATGTGCATGGTCTGAAAATTGCTGGATAAAAAAGCAGAAATAAACTTTTTTCGTAATTTCTAACAAGTTGGCAGCTTCCTTGGCATATTTGGAAAATGTCATGCCGCACAAAGCTTTAAAGCGTAGCAAAGCGATTTTTTGCAATATCATCGTGAAACTCAATGTTCAAGCTTTCTTACTAGTTAACTCGATTAGCACAATATGGAGCATATCCGCAACCTCTAGGACAAAAATATCCTATGATCTTGACGGAGTTCAAATGATTGCTTATACAGGGTATCCCAAAATATGACCGTCGTTTAATCGTGAATAAATCTCATTTTCTAGCCTATTCCACTTCTAGATTCAGGTTGAAGATTAAGAATGCAACTTAGACAGTCATGATGAAAATCTTCAGGTGGATGCAACGTTGATGACACTGAAATGAAAACCTTATGAAACCAAATGGTTATCATATTCGGACTTAGCATGCTTAATCAAAACATCGGACAAGTTTGCAGTGTCTTATGGCCTACTAGGCCAACTGTAGATCTGCACCGTAATGCTATCGTAAGATGCAGAGATTTAATTTGCAATAAGTTTGAGCTCGAAGGAGTAATTTATAGAAACAGTGAGCATATTTCTGGAGTATTCTATGTGCGACTATATACCTAGTTGGTGAAATTTAAATTATTTACATATATACATGGGGATGCCATTAGTTTAGCAACATCGTAAAGTGCTTACCACTAAAACTAAGTGCGCTAAGATTTCAAAGGTATGCAGTCAAACCACTTGCTCACAACTTTTTCTTGTCAAAGG